GTGCCTTAGTACTGCAACACCCACATTATTAACAATAAGTGTTTATTTTAAATACAATAAGTAAAAAAAGACATTGTTCTCTTTATCACCGATAACCGTGCACGCACCTAAAATGCAAAACTTACGATAATTCATTACAATTTTTTTTTTTTTCGTTAATTACGCCTCTAGGTTCACACCTATATAAATTCAATTCAATAACTGTTTTTTTTTAATTAGGACACTACTGATAAATACAAAATGTGAGCATTCATATAGATAGGAGACTTCACCTAACATTATCGAGAGCCAAAGAGTCTGGTTGCCCATAGACAATAGGAATGCGCTGTTCACGAATTGAAATAAAACTTCGTAAACAGCCCGCTTTAGTCTTAACAACCAGACGTGATCGGCTCGAAAATGAATTTAAATTCACTTCGTAACATTAATTCGTCGGTCGTTTCAATATTACTTTTAGAATGAATTACAAAATAAATATTTGAACAAAATTCTACTATTTATCATTTTGCTAAATGACCTAATACCCAGTTTCTGTCACTCGGTAAAAATATTCTAATTTAACTAGGGAAAAATTGTGTTTTAACTACAGTGATAACAAAACAAGGATGGAAGCCACCTCGGAGACTAACCTCTAACAGCTGTATATCCTGTTGTAAATGCTTACAAAATGTTTTTAATTCCATTACAAAGTCTCGTACAGTGGTACACAAATCCATACTCTACGCACTTAGCAATAAACTTCGTTTTTAATTAACAGAGTCTACGCGCAACAATATGATGACTACCCATGCCGACTCCATAGACTATAACATTCGAATATTACCTTCTGAAAAAAACATAAAGGAAATAAAAATAAAAACAAAAATAAATAAAAAAAATCATTCGTTTAATTCTCTTTGATAATATAATTTGTTTAATGATAAGGTATCTTTATGTAAGAGAATAATGCTCTATTAAACTACATACAACGTGACATAAGACAAACTATCATTATATTTAACTACTAAAATGTCGCAACGACAAACGCATACGATCTCGTTAAATATTATTTTCTCAATATAAAATTTTTAAATAAAATATAAATAAATCGAGTATTACTGTTCCAACAACTATAATCTATGGTTGACCATAGATGTTTATATATTTTACTTGTGGTTTAACACTAAGGTCTGTGGTCTACCGGCTTGTGACGTCACAAACGCATCGAATTATTTCGAACATTTAAAGTGATGTTATTGTAGAGGGCTGCATCGATGCCCGTGTGACGTCACAACGCCAGTAAAACAGCGCTAAGACGCCTGACATCATGGTGAAACTATACGTCTTAAAAATAAAATTTGGAAACTTCTAGAGATCTTTTACTGTAAAAATGGAAGTACAATAACGAAAGACAGCCCCATAAAATAAAATCAATACAACTATACAAAGCCTAGGTAAGGATGATTTTCTATAAAATTTAATATAGACATTAATTTTTAATAGATATATAATATAAACAATATATCTAGTAATGCCTACAATTTACTAATATTTCCCATCTAAAGACACGATAAATAAATGTATAAAATGATGCGTAAACAATATTACTTACATCTATATGTAGAACACAAACAAAGTAAGCTTTTTATGCCAGAAATTATTACAATAAAATGTTCGCTTCATAGAAGCGACGACGCCGTGGCAAGCTTATTGTAATGAAAAACATTCTTGTACATTTGCTTACATTTTTATAATAAAAAATATTATACAAAAACTTACATACGTGGGTACTTAAATTATTATAATGCACTGGATGAGGTCAGTTTTGTACCAGATTATTCAGTCAACGTTAATCCTGCCGCGGACGTATCAAAATGCATTATTGTGCATAAATTGTTTTCCCAAAAAAAAAGAACATTTCTTTTCTCACAAAACCCTTATTTAAATATTTATAACTACTAAGACCTTACTAAGTAATAATATAACGATAAAATAAATAATTACACTAACAATTAAAATAAAATAAAAAAAACGGAGGGAAATGAACCGAAACGAAATATTATTTTAAAGCTGCTATCGTTCATAATTTACGTGGTTAATTAATACGGTATAACCGTTTATATCGTCTATAATTGTATAAATTACTTTGTAGTGTCACTTGCGGGGTAGGACATTTAAATAGCTCCTTTGAAGGATGCAACTTATAAAAAATATCTACAAATCATTGTTTAAACTTCGTCATCCATCTGTCTGTGTGTCATGTTAGTGACTGTCTTAATCATATTGCTTCTAGACCTTTGCAGGGGTCATTCATTGGGTCAAATGTTTTCTGAACCCATTTGTCATATAAGTTTAAAACCTTTATAGACATTTCCACACGTTCCCATATCCGGGTAAAGTGTAGTCTTGTACGTAGCTTTCACACATAATTACTGTTGTATGCCACCGGTGTAACTCATTGAAAAGGACACTCGACGAAATAAAAATAAATAAGAAACAAAATAACGTCCCACGAATATGCATCTTAACGCTAATTTATAAGACGGATATTACTTATTTTAAAGGACAATTGATGCCTATTTTATATTACCATAGAGGGTTTGGAATGGTTACAAAATATTACAAAATGTTCTATAAATTACCATTAAACACTATAACCGCACTCAGAGACATTCAATGATTACTTAAACTATTCCTAAGTAACGGTTTTTGTTAAGAAAACATTTGCCAAGGTCTAGTTTGAGTAACCTAGAAATGCTTGAACGCAACGTTAAGACCTTAATTCGAAATCTTTAATTAGAAAAATTGCGGATTCCGATTCTAAGATCGCGGTGTTCTAAACTATTATTTTTTATATAAATAATAATAATAATTACGATCAAATTTTCGAAATATTTGAAATGTATTTTTATCAATGTAAAACGTTAAGTCGACGTTCTTTAGTATAAATGGTATATATTAGGAAAGTATAGCGATTCGTTTTGTTAGTCAATTTTATTTAGAATACGTATTATTGCTTATAATACTGACTGTCGATTTGAGTCTGTTTGAAAATGAAATTATATTGAAGGCCTCTAGTCTAGAAATTAATGCCAGTGGCCCACTTGAAACAAACGAATTGATTCTGAATTTAGAAGTCCCAGCAGTCTAGAAGTTAATGGGTGATTCTCCAAAAAACCTTAACTTTTATTTAACAAGTCATTATCCTCCCAGGTTTTTAAGCATCTTAGTAATTTATTTTATACAATATTTTTAATCGGTTGCTTGTAAGCAGTGGTGAGATTTAATTTAATAAAATAATTATCTGTGTTTTAATCAGCAGACTCGTTAATTTTCGGTTGAGGATAATGACATTATTAATTTTTTTTAATTGATGTGACGAATCACCCTCATACCAGTGGCCCACTCGAAACTAATAAATTGATTTTCAATTTCATTAAAATAACATTAAGTTTGAAAATCTGTTACAGAAATAGTTCCATATAGCTTCTTTTGGACTGGCATGTCTTTTTCATTTAACTGGTAAACTCTGTCTACTTAGAACTGAAGAAACTAGTCACTAAGGTTGTTTTTTCAATGGAAAACAGTTTCACTACTTTATTTCCGTAGATAAGAACCTGCCTTGACCTTCTCCAATCGTATAATATCTATAGTAAAAACGGAGATTGTCTAACAAAACGAATCCAATACGGTTCAGATTACTTTGACTCTGCGAGTTAACTTTGATCCAAATGCCTCAATCAATAATAACTTTGAACAAAACGTCTATAGTTATCATTGGTTCAAAAGTTTGGATCAAGGTCTATCATACAGGCTCAAAAGTAACCCGAACAGACGTCTAGATGACGGTGAGCCTCAACTTTTTAAATAGTTACACAACACACCTACACAAAACTCGCATTAAAGTATTATTTATTAATTCATTTAATGTATATAAATACAGAAATGGCACGACTATTTACATAGGGAATTGACATGATACTTTTATAAAATCAAAAAATGGCAATTAGTATATTTGTATAAAACGTACATCCGAATGCGATGAGTTAATTTAGGCCTCAAGGCTAATTTTCTTTATGTACAGTCAAACACAATATTTGTATAATAATAATAATAAAAAAAATATCAACAATTCTTTGTAAGCCTAAAGCTGGCGTATGAACCTCCTTTTTAAAAGAAATTTTGGAGTAATTATTTAGAAATAATGTTGTTTCATTGTAGTTGAGATTAAGTGAACGCTTGTCACATTAGTAAATGAAATACAGTATAGAAAGTTAGCATGATTTGTTATTATAAATAGATCATTCTTATCAGAGAAGAATTAAAAAGTCAATTGTGTGAAAATTGTAAGTAAAGCCAGTATTGTCAATGACTGTACACAAAAAAACGTTGAAACAGCGTATACCACATTCAACGCGAAATCTACAATTTAATGATAAGTTTAACATAAACACTTGTGCATGTTACTTCGCATACAATAATAAATACTTCAGTACTTTATTGACTTCGTGAGAAATTCAAAAAATACACCAAAAATTGAAAATTTATTAAAAACAAATCTGTCACAACAACTATAATACTGTCCATCTAACACCTTAATTATAAAAATTACACAACCTAAAAAGTTGCCAGCATTAAAATAGCTAGAAAATTATTGCCATATGAAAATACTCACGAAGCCAATCACCCTAAGCACAGTTGACAGACAAGATATACAAATGAATCGTGTATATAAGTATTTTATGCTGCGTTCACTACTCGTTTTAGTACAACTGTACATTTTTCAGGATATTATCTAAATATCCTTTCGTCGCGACGTGTGAACGCAGCATAGAACACGATTCTTGATTATTTGATTGATTTTATATCATGCTTGCGGTATCATCTTGACGATAATGAAGTTAAGAAATACCAATTACAGTACATTTCTCACAAATCTTAAATACAACATTAAGATTGATCTGTCCAAAGAAAAATTCATAGGAATACTAAGTTAAAAAATTTCAACTTTTAAAATAAAATCCCAGGTAAGAATAAATACTTAATCGGTATTTCAAAAGTGTCATTCGTCAAGGTCACCTGCGCACGCGCCGGTGCGCTAACGACTGCTAGGCGGCATGGGCATCTGTGCTTGTACGCCTTGCAAGTTCATCGGTCGTCCGTTGGGATTGCCCATACCTAATCCGTCATGGTAGTTGTTCACTTCCATCGCTGGGATGTCATCGTTCTGTGGAAGATTATTTTAACCTTTCAATCGTGGTAATTCGAGAGACAATATGTGCGCGAACGCTGGTTTTCACTCGGGGTTTGATGTATTAATGTCAAATTATATATTACAAATATGTCTAGTGTGTTGTTGGGGAGTAAAGGAGCAGAAATATTACTTGATGATGAGCAATCAGTATCGATCAAGGACACCCACGACAGCAAAGCGATTCTCCTCAGCCTTTTGTATGTACATTCAATTTAAATATTATTGTTATTATGTGCAGAGCATCAAGAACGAAAACACAGGTTAAGGAAATTGTGTATTTTTGAGTTTGGAACATAAAAATTGATGCACATAGAAGAGTATAAACAATCAAACGACAAGCATATTATGTACATATATTATATTATACATTGAGCAGACGAAAAACTTCTTTGAATCCTAAAAACACAATTAAAGCTGTGATCAAATGAACAGTGCAATATAGCAGAAATAATATTATTTTTATCGAATGATTACTGAATTAAAAAAATAGAGTAACTATAAAATACTCCACCTTAATATCTGATTAGAAAATAATTAAATATTTTAACATGAGCAGTGTTAAGAAAAATAACCTTTATTTTTTTATTTTAAAAACCTGTATTTGTCTATACATGGTGTTCGAAAAAAAGTGAAATATGAAGCTTCGAGTACTTTACAGTCACAATAGCTTAATACATGTAAAGTGCATATGGTATGCGGAGCGGTGCATTACCTCCCGATGGCGCCGGATGGTGCGGTCCTCGTAGCGCGTGCCCCCGGTGGAGGCCATGGGCCGGCTGAGCGTGCTGTTGGCGTTGCTGGGCGAGTGCGGCGCGCCCGCGCCCGACGACGGCGTGCCCTGACCTAAATTGCCCACACCGTAAGCTACTCGTGTCGCCCGCGAATCTCAACGCTAACCATTATTCTTTCATATTTTTAACTGATAGTATGTTTTAATAATGTTTTAACGTTTTAACATGAAATAAAATTTGTTACGAATATTGAAAATTCACTTGCTACAAGCAACTATAACGTAATTAATTTATGTTTTAATTTTATTATAATTTGTATGTCAATCGACAAGACGGAACGTAATACATTTTATTAAGATCTTATATGATAATTAAATTTATCATATACATATGCTTCCAAATGAATAAATGATTTGATTTGATATCTAACCGTTTAATGGACTTTTACTCAAATCGTTAAAATCGTAAGGTACAAAAATGTTATTGTATTTTTTTAGTCTACTGAATAATTTTTCGTTGCGTATTTTGGTACAGATCAGAAGATGAATCACGAAAACTAAATATCAAAGTATTTACTAAGAAAGATCTTGGATCCATAGATCTGATACAAATTAAAATAAATAAAACGCATTTTGAAACCGAAATAACTTGTAACGTTTGAAAATTAATTGTCGGCTAAAAATATTGAAATTTGTAATACATTTTAGACCATGCATGCATGCATGTGAAGTTAATAATGACATATTGTTAATCACTGTGTTAGAATTGAACATCCTAGTATTTTATTTGGATGCATTTTCAGTACGCGTCGCGAACTATATCGAAAATTTGCAAGTTACTAAAGCGTTACAACGTAAAAGGATTACGATATAATACGACATATAGTGACCATTAGTTCGCTATTAGTTGTGGCTTTTTTTAGAATAGACACACTATGGTACTTTCTCTCTAAACATGTCAATAATATAAATCCTTTGACTACTAATTTTTCTTCAAGAATTAAGTTCCGAATAAACTTTATGTGTCTCATTATCTATACAAATTACATTCAATATAAAAATTTATTTACAGTACATATTCAGACAAAATAAATCAGGCTTGAAGTTTAGCAGCGTAGCAGCTGAGTATAAGCCCCAAATGTGGCTTTAAACTAGTCGAGTTCCTCGTCAAATAGTAACGTAAGTAAAAAGATAAACATAAGAACATTATAACATAGGTTTTTGCACACACAACAAAAAAGCTCTACAAGTTTCCAAGATACAGCGGGACCCTCATACAGCCGATTGTTCCGAGGATCCCCTATGTTACTTGAAACTAGTACAGCTTTTCTCAACTCACGTGAGTAAGTGGTTACTTTCAATAAATTAAGTATCTGTCACGAAAGTTAGATTAAATTCAAAGTTAATCTTAGATTATTGATCTGACAAAAACAATACTCACATACTATAAAAAAATAGAATTTAGAAACCTATCGTGTCTGTATATCGTTCTAAATTTTCCACAATTATAGAGAAAGTTCCACAGCGTGCCTATATGTTTGTTAGCGTGAGATTCACATAGCGTTGTAAATGACAATGATACACAGTACATAAAGACTGTACATGTTTACATAATGGTATGTTACAATAGAATATACACAACATTTATTTTACACACTTTTACATAATATACAAGGAATTTGTGTGTTGGCTAAGTCATTATGACAATTAAGTAATATTTTTTTCGAATTTTATTAAGTCATTAAGGCTTTATTTAATAATTTTTTTCAGTAGTAGGCTCCACTGGTAGTATCCACTTCTGGACAAAGGCCTCCTTTTTTAGATTACATAAGTACATAACATATCAACCATTTTTCTCGTTATTAACTTGAAAAGCTGGTTTATAACTTAACAAAAAACTGGTTTGCAATTTTCCTATAGTTTTAATAGACTCTTGCAAATAAGTATCCAATCATAAAAGTGAAGAATAGGTGTCTCTTTAGGACGTCTAAAGCAACCTTAAGAAGCCATAATATTAACTATTTATAGCCATTTCTTCAGCAAGAAACAGTTTTAATATTGATATACAAAGCTTAGGCCATTTATCCCTTCCTTTTACTTTATACATTAGATATAATATCATATTTATTTCGAGATAATATATGTAAATAGTACATACCGCTAGCAGTAGACGGCGCGCGGGGTTGGGCGGCGCGCGCAGGAGTGAGGAAGTCAGCCTCGCGCCAGCCGTGCTTGCGGTACACTTCACGAAGCTCTGCGTGGGACCACATCGTCATCAGGACTTGTCCTAGGGAGAAATATATCATCAGTAAAAGTTTTTTAACATTATAATCATCGAGGCCCGTTGATGAACCAATCAGGAGTTAGAAAGAGTTATCTATACTAATACATATTATAAAGAGGTAAAATTTGTACCTTTGTATATTTGGAAACGATAGTCGGATCACCAAAATTCTTTCAATCATAAATAGGTATTATGTTCCTGAGTGCTATAGCTATAAATTATACTTGTGTTTAGCGCTTTTAACCATTGCTTTTTTTTTTAATCTAAGGATACATTACTTTTATACGAGTGCGGAAGCTAGTATTTTACAAAATCGGAGAGATGACGAGTAAATAGCTTCACCCAGGGACACTAGTCCTTTTTTCGTCGCTACAAACTCATAAAATAAACCTTCTTTGTCGAGAATTGACTGATTATTGCATTCAAAGCGCTTATCAAGAATAAATAACTTTCACTTCATCTCCATTATTTTGTTAATTGAGCATTTAAGAAATTGATATTTCAATGAATTAACGTGTAACATCGATAGAGGCGTCTATTAAGCGCAGATCGTCGCGAGACACAATGTGTTTTCTATTCTGTCTCATATATCGGCAGACATTTCTAAAAGCAATTCATATCGAAACAAACCTGCAAACTTGAGCACCCTGGGAGTATGTCGGTGACGTTGCTTAGTGAGGTTGAGGAGTCGCTCGACTCCGCCCGCCTCGAGCAAAGAGCGGGAGAACTCTCCGCTCTTCTTTATGACCTCGTTTAGGGTCGCTAGTACCGCCGCTATGGTGTCGTCTGATGTGCCCTGGAGGAGTAAGTAGAATAAGGTTAATTTGTTAAGTGGTTATGTGTTGCTGCTCATTTAAATGATGTAAACTACCAAACTACCATTATTAAACTCTCAGCCATAAGCATCTAAACTTATAAAGCGCTCGATCTGAATTCTTAAAAGGGGACCAAATTGTAATAGTTGTTGCTTAGACACAATCACTTGGTAAAAAGCATAGGTAACAAAATATCTAGTATTTGACCCGATTACTAAAATTCTAGTGCATTGGAATTTCATTTACACATCGTGCAGTCTCCTATATCTATCAAAATTATTTGTTGTAAGGAAACGACTATGAAGTGTTTGTCTTGTTTTGAAATTTAAAATAAAATAACATACGCCATCAAACGAATTTATCAATAAATATTACCCAAACACTAACCTGATCATGCTGATGGTTCCCGCTAGGTAGCTTCTGCACCAGATCTCTCATGGCATACTTTCCAATCAGCTCCTTATTCCTCTGGTCTATGGCCAGATTCCGTAGAGCCGTGGCCACAGCACAAACCACTCGGTCGACCTCCATACGCAAGAGCTCCACTAAAATTGGTAGACCTGGAAATTCTGATCATTTTAGCGTTGTTCACTGTCATTCACTTGGTATGGGGGTTTTCTGTCACAACTACTGGAGAAAGAAATAATAGAATTGCCCCTCTACCTTACATGCATTAATAGCGAGAAAATGAGATTTATTACAGAAATAATAGAGTGTAGTTTTGTTTAATTTGTATATATCAAATATTTACAATACAAATAGCAAGGTAAATAAAGCTTGTCCAAAAAAATATCCAACACACCCAATCAAATAAAGCCCCAACTTCAATAGTTAAAAACAGAATCCCATAAAATAGGGAGTCAGCCTAGACACTTGCCAAAATAAGGGCAACCGTTATTTTGCGCATCAGATCTATGGAGCCAGTGTGTGCTTTTCGTCTTTCCACCAAATAGAAAATTACTTTTTGTCACTTGTCAATTGGATATTCGATTTTTAAATATGAAAGTTTGAGGATTGGTTGTGGAAAGTTTAACGGACCTCTGGTCTGAAATAAAGCATTTAATTTAATTTAATTATAGCTGTTATAATACCTTTTTCTTTCCTGACAGCGGCCCGTATGTCGATGGAGGGCTGCCAGTAGCAGGCGGCCAGGTTCTGTAGCGCGCCGGCCGCCGCCTCCAGCGTCTCGGGGTTGGAACAAGTCTGCAGCAACGCCATGTATAGGGGAACCACCTGCGAAAGAGGTTCATTATATTCATTGGTAGTTAATAGAATCCTTAAGAACAATTGACCGTAAACTAATTGATGCCATAGAAATGTGTTGCTCCGTATTCCCTGGACATCATTTCGGACCAAGGTCTCAATACTGCGTGAACCCAAAATCTCCTTACGATTGTCATCCTAGTGCCTATGCAGAGTTCGCGAATACTTAGGTGACATTGCAAGGACAGATTGTGATAAACTATTGGGACCCGAAATTGAACAGAAAAAGGGCTTCGTGGTCGCAGCCGTTAAATACGTTAGTCAGATCAGATCCGCACGGTTTTAGACAGCATAAGATAGAGAAAGATCGTGCGAGGGAAAGTGATGCAAAGAGACCCTCAGCAGTGAGGAATACGACGCATGGAGGAAGAGGAATTTAAAAGAAAAAACATATTTTGTAGAACTTTATATTTTTTTATATACTTTCTCTCTATATACTTTCGTATAATTAATTGATACATATACTTTAAATTAGAAACACATTCTATATAGGTGATTTTATAGGATATGGTTGATAACTAAACTACTGTCAGTATCTCAGTTTTAAAAAAGCACATAAATGCTTCTGTAGAAGTAAAGTAAGGAAGGAACAGAAGACAGTTTTGTTTGTCCCGAAAACAAGGGGCTGGGTTGAGTAACCATTACTAATGAACTTTACGTGCGAAATTTGTTGTCAGTTAAGACAACATCAACTAAATCAAGTATTGTAAAAAGTCACAAGGAATAAATAATATTATTTTTCAAATCTTACCTCAGGAGACCACAGCATCTCCGTTCCTTTGGGCACAGAGTACCCAAGTTGTGTAGTTCCAGTGTCGCCTAAAGGCTGACTATCTGGCTCGCTCTTGCCTAACGGGCTGGTTGAGTTAGAAGACGATGACCCTTCCTTCTTCTTTTTACTGCCTCCAAAGCAGCCTAGATTTTCACCTAGGAAGAAACAAAATAATTGAGCCCGAATGAATAGTATTTTTGACAATAGGAATTTCAACATGTGTTGTCCAAAAACGTAGGAATGAGTAACTGGGTATTCGTTTTTTATGTTACAAGTCGGCAAAGAAGCAGACTATCTGATGCAATCAGCGCCGCCCCTTGTAATTCCAAAAGATTTACTGCAAGAGCGTCGCTGGCCTCGTATTGATTACTAGGGATTGAGGATAGGGGATTTCAGGATTGAGGATAGGGGATTTGAGGATTGAGGACTGGGCCCCAGGTAACTTCACTCATACGGCGAAATAGAACGTGTTTTTCACGCTTATTTACTGTGAGGCCGTGGTATCACTCATTCATGTGAATGGCTCATTCGTGCCGAAGCTTAGTTACGGTAATAAAAATGTGAAAAGTATAAGCAACTAAAAACTATGTAGTTATTGTGAGTTTAAAAACTCTTTTGACTAACGGCAGAAAATCGTTAACAAAAATCCTCTATGACGATCAACGAGTTAAAATATATTTTTAGATTTTAGGTACATATTTATTTGATTCCTTTTAATATATTATATTTTCAACGTACCTTTAGAAGCACTCGCCTGTATCCTAGCCTGTCCCGATGACTGTGTGGGAGGCGCTCTCGTGTCATACAGCGGGTCTTCAATTTCTTGACATCTACAAATATTTCCATTTTATTAATAACTAGCTACTCTCGCGCGATTTCACCCGCTGCTCTGCTCCATTTGATCGTAGCGTGATGTTTTATAGCCTATAGCATTCAGGAACATTGTAGCTATCTATCAGTAAAGGATTATGGCAATCCGAGCAGTGGTTCCTTAGATTACCCCCTACATACAAACTTACAAATTTTACCTCTTTACAATATTGGTATAGATTTAACTAATGCAAAAATATTTTCCAGCGACAACTTAACCGTTTTAGCTTTACACACGTACAATAACTGCCTCTCTAGTCATTCTATTATTAAGAACTAGCTACTCTACTACAGTTTCACCCGCTGCACGGCTCCTACAGATCGTAATGTAGTATTTTATATAGTGGACTAATAAGCACAAAAAAGAAATGTTCAATTCCGAGCAGTAGTACCAGAGATTAGCGTTCAAACAAACAAACTCTGTACCATAGCTTTATAATACTAGTATGGATTTACGCAAAGAAATATTACATTAAAAATAATGTTTACCTAACAACATATTATTAAACGGGTATTTAAATAATTACTTTCCGCTTTAATGTAATGTTGTTAACATGGAAGACAAAAATAGGTAATAGGGAATAGGTTTTTCTACTGTGTCGTGGTTACGTTTACAAACATATAATTTCACATACACAACACACCCAGACCCGGAACAACAATTTTTGGATCACATAAAAAGATTGTTCCGTGCGGGAATCAAACCCGCGGCACACTGCCACCAACCATGCAGTTTAAAAGTAAATGTTTACCTGTAGGAAAGATTCCTGAGCACGCAGACGCAGTTCTCGACGATCTTGGTGCCGATGGCGTTGGCCTGCAGCGCGGCGCGGACGGCGTGCAGCAAGGCCTCGGCCAGCCCGGCCAGCCCGCGCAGCCGGCGTCGCGCGTACTCGCCCGCTGACGACGCGTTGCGCAGTACGCCCGACGCGTTGCGGAACACTATGGAAATTAATTTTATTTATTTATTTAAAACATGCACTTTAGTGGCTTACTTGAACATGCTTGAATTACACTTGCGTAAAATTAAGTTTTACGCACATACTTTGCGCAACAATTGTTATAGTATTTTGTTATACAACTACCTACAAAACATTGCCATTTCATTTCAATTATTATTATTTTTTACCTGTAGACCAGTAAGTGTCTCCAGGGTTGGTGGGATGCCACCCTGAGTGCGGTATGATGACCTTGTTGACGATGACTTGAGCCGCATCGTCTATGATGGACTGCTTCAGATCTTCACACGATGACATGTTCCAGATCACGCCCGTTACTAGTTCTTTAACCTGTTGATAATAAATTTAGCATTATAATTTTATAACTATGAAAATAATTTTGAGCTACAAAATGGTAAATTATGGGTACAATACTAGGAACAAAAAGTGTGTGTGTGTCGTAAGAAATGATACTATCATAATGAAAAATAAAAACCATATTTTTTAATGCTACTTTTATTTGCTTTTTTATTCCACCAATCTTTGAATGCACACATCATCAAATGACTTCTTTTACCATTTGAAGTCCCTCTTCAAATGGTAAAAGTAGTATAGGACTCTTACTGACAAAACTCCACCCCATTCCTTCTTCTACTTCTGGAGATGCAGATGAACAATATAATTGCACTTGACCCACAACCTCGGCTGATGGCTACAATCTCGCCTGATGGTAAGCAATGATGCCACCAACTATAGACTCACTCACAAACAATATTATCAAGACCCTGTACCTCCATGTCGGTAGCCCTGCAGAGCAGCGCCATGAGCGCGGGTATACCGCCGGCATCGCGTATGGCTCGCTTGTTCTCGTCGTTCTGTCGCCCGTACGACAGGTTGCGCAACGCGCCGCATGCGTTGCGACAAACCTCTGGATTCTCGTGCGACACTAGGCGCACCAGTGGGGGGATACCGCCTGAAATGGGATCAGGAAGTTAGCTTATTGTGGAACTTATGATACGACGTACATAGAAGATCAGATAGACGACAATTAATATAATGAACCGATGATGTCACAAATACTGATTAAACAAAGTGTGGGAGAGCCATGCTTCGGCACGAATGGGTCGGCTCGACCGGAGTGATACCACGGCGACACAAAAAACCGGCGTGAAGCAATACTTACGTTCTATTTCGTCGTGTCAGTGAGGTTACGCCCCCCCCCTTCCTCCATCATCATCTATCCTCAAATCCTCTATCCTTAAATTCACAGCCCACAAGAGGCCGGCAACGCACTCGTAGTAGCACCTTTGATACCTACGTAATTGCTTACCATCAGGTAATCCGTCTGCTCGTTGACACCTATGACGTAAAAAACCTATATCGCACAAGTAAAGTTTGCGCGCAGATTAATACCAACATTATAATTGTTGAGCAGTAGCGCGCCAGGCATGATCACCTCACTTGGTCCTGTTACCCAGGATAACAGTAATACGTAACGTTTACATACGTAAATAATAACATACAAACATCAAAACACCGAAACACTAAGTCCAGCGAGTCATAAACGCCTATTTGAGGAGAAAAAAAACAGAAATTATTTTTTTTTGCCACCACTACAATGCGTAGGCAAAAACTACTTTACAAGAAAAAATGTTTTTTGAACATCAATAACGAATATTATCTTACCTAAACTCCTAGTCTTCTGTTTGTTAGGGTCGTCCATATAAGTGAGATGCTGTAGGTAGGCGGCCGCGTTGGCCTTCACAACGTCGGAGGGAGAGTTGAGGAACCCGATCACCTCCGGCAAATTGGGGTCCCTCCACTGTAGTCCACCTGTCTCTTCGCGACCACCCACGCTACCGTGTACTGAGAAAAAAGATTAATTGTATTTAATTAAAGTTGCTATTTGTATATTTATATAACACTTTGCGCGTTGGTTCACAATATTAGTAAAATAACGAAAAAAAAAAAAACAATAAAAATAACGAAATGTTCAATAGCTAGACTATTGAATATTTCGTTATTTTTATTGTTTTTTTTAACTACATTGACATAGGTTTGAAGCAAATGTGTCAAAATTAAATCTTTTTAACTTTGACTGGTCATAGCTATAATTTACTTTTTTGTCTAAGTTCTAATCAGCTTTTATTAAAAAAAAAAAAACATTTCATCTTGGCTAGAATAAACCAGAATACGGTAGTTTCCAACTAGTCAAATTCAATACTCTTATCCAAACGTCAAAAACGGTACTTTTCTATGAAATTTATATGAAAAACTGAGTTATGACGTCATAACAATTTTGCGTCAAATAGCTTACTTATCTATACTAATATTATAAAGAGGTAAAATTTGTAAGTTTGTATGTAGGGGGTAATCTTTCGTACCGCTGCTGGTCGAATTGACAAAATTCTTTCACTGATAGATAGCTACAATGTTCCTGAGTGCTATTATAGGCTATAAAACATCACGCTACGATTAAATGGAGCCGAGCAGCGGGTGAAACCACGCGGGAGTAGCTAGTTTATTAATAATTAGCTTAAAAAAAAACTAAAACTTAGTGTATCGATCGATCAATGAATAAAAGTATAGTTATTTTTAACCGACTTCAAAAAAGGAGGAGGTTCTCAATTCGACGCGTATTTTTTTTTCAGTATGTTATTGTATTGAAACGTCGAATTAATTTATTTTTGACCTAGGAAACTACCCAATTAGTGCTAACCCACGTATTAAACTGACCAAAATCAAGCAAAATACAAGACACTTCTGTAAATATTATTTAGTCACCCGCTAATAGTCAAAATTCTATTAATTATTTGCAAATTCATTATAAGGTAAAGAATCCTGGAAGAACCTTACCTAGTGCCATATTCGCCATTTGTTTCTGTAACTCTTCTTCGTCACCATACATCGACTGTCCTCCAGCGCTGCCTAGACTTAGACCATTCTGTGAATCCTGTGCGAGAAAAACAAATAAAGCTATTTTACTAAAGAACCATTAAATTATTTTACTATTGATTTTATACATTCCTCTTTTCATCATCATCATCATCAGCCTATAAGTGCCCACTGCTGAGCAAAGGCCTCTTCTCACACGGAGAAGGTTAGAGCATTAATCACCACGCTTGCTCAATGCGGGTTGGCGATCTCAAACTTATAATAAGAAATTTTAAGTCAGGTTTCCTCACGATGTTTACCTTCACCGTATGTCGGTGGTTTCTAAATAATCATAGAAAGTACAAATAACTCGGAAAAAGTCACATCGGTACTTGCCAGGTTTCGAACCCCACGGGACACACGTCATTCCTCTTTTACTTAATTCAAATTTGAACTAGCGACCCTCGCTGGGATCGTTTGGGTGCAATGCTGATATTAAATTTCTCCAATATTTTATTGATACAAAACTTCCTCTTCAATCACTGTATCTATTATAAAAAAAACCGCATCAAAATCCGTTGCGTAGTTTTAAAGACTTAAGCATACAAAGGGATATAGGAGCAGAAAAACCCACTTTGTATTATACTATGTAGTGATTTTAGAAGCAAAAAGTCTGAATTAGTATTATGAGCAAAAAAAAAGTTAGCGCAAGAAGCGCATTTTGCGCAACAGTAGCAAAACATAACTGAATTTAATTTATTGGATGGCGGATTTTACTGATTAAATCACTTTTTGTTTCACGCTGATTTCCTCGTAGTTCTACCGCGTGAAAAACATAATTTTTCATATGTTACTAACATCTTACTAATTCATAAATGTGAAAATGTATAGATGTATGATACCCTGGATTTGCATAGGCTGCGGCCAAACCTAATGTAAATTAAAATTAAACTTCATACCTTAAACGGCGGTGGTTGATGCGGTGGTTCGTACGCTGTGGGGTAGTGTTGGTATCCGTACGCGTCGGGGGCGTATTCCCCGCGCGGTGACGTCACGCAGTAGTGCCGACCCAGCTGCTCCAGGGATGCCGAATCGTACCTAATATAGAAAAATGAAAAAATAATACATAGTGTAAAAATAGCTTCAAGGGAAATTTTAACTAGCGTAACGTTTCTTTTTAACACAGTTCTTGGTGCTTGTATAAGCTTAATATAAAATTTGACAAATTAAAAACATTTATCCTTTCATTTCGTATATGTTAACTAATTAAATAGACCCGGAACAACGACAAGCACCAACCATTAAAAGCACAGTTTACTTTAGAAGAAAAAGATTTTTTTTCGAAACTAATTAATGCACTAGTTACATTTAACAACACATAATAATGTGATATCAATATAAACACGTCTCGATTATAGGAACGTCGCTTATAAACTAACAAACTGAATGGGTAATATAAAAAATAATATCATTTTACAGAACATTCAATGTCCTACAGCCAATTGTCTAACTAAGCTTACATCACTGAAGTAGATGTTTACTATTTTATCTGTGACGCATCTATTGTTGCACATACTTTCTCCGCAAAATACAATAAAAACTATCGCATTGTCGTAACTCAAGATCATTCACGTTTCATATCATCTTTATTGCACAATAGAATAGTCTAAGCGTTAAATTGAATTTTGCGCAAAGTCATCATACTTGCGCTAAAATGCGCAATACATCGTTGCGCACACACACACATAATTAGCATGTATGTGCCCAATGCTGAGAAAAGGCCTCTTCTCACAAAGAGAAGGTTTGAGCATTAATTACTACGCTAAAGACGGATGGGCGATTTCAAACTTATAGGTTCAGGTTAACTCACGATATTTTCCTTCACCGTATGTCAGTGGTGTCTCAATAATTATAGAAAGTACATATAACTCGGGAAAAGTCACGTTGGTACTTGCCAGGTTTCGAACCCGCACCCACATGCATGAGAGTGCCTTGACCTCTAGGCCACCAGGACATTCTAATATCATTCATCGTTGCGTAATATGCGCAAAATATAAAATTTCATATTTTGTTACTTTACAGATAATCTACCTATGGGTATTTCGAAAATCAGTCGTTTTATTTTTACGAGGTCCATTATTGCGAAAACAGTTTCTGAGTATTGTAGTATTAAAAAATCTGACGTGAAGGTATTATTACAAGGTTTATTATTCAAAATTAATTAGAAGTACTCATATAGACTTACCTTTGTTGTAAGTGTAGATTGTGTTGAGGCAGAGCACCCGGTGACGCGCTCCGGGGCGAAGCGCTACCACCTCCTTCAACGTATTCCTGCAAATAGATATCTTTATTAACTACTGATACTTGCTTACTTTAGCAGGTATGAGCCTTTACTAAAAGTTTGGATACCGTACGGCGTGTGATGGGATGTCTATGTACCAAACCAGCAAAACAAAGGTACGGAACATTGTTGTATTTTTCACAAACTCCAAACGAGCAGACGGATCACTTGGAAATGACCCGTGGTGACACTAGTGGAAACCCTGAACACCTGGAGGGTTAAGACTGCGTTGCCGGCCTTTGGAGGTTGTTAGAAATTTGATTGGGGATCCCCCAATCCCCCTTTGGGAGGGGAGGGAGTGAAGGACTGTTCCTCCATTAGCTTCACTCACACGGCGAAACAACACACAAGAGTTGTTTGACGCCGATTTTCTGAAACCGTGGTATCACTCAGGTCAAGCCGTACCATTCGTGGCGAAGCATGGCTCTCCCACAATGAGCGTGGTAATTTTTTAACAATTTTAAACTATGATTAAAAATAATTAGGGTAAAAAATACAAACCTGTCCCATATACTGTGGAACTTGCGTTGTCTCCACCATGTATGCTGTCTGCGGTTGATAGGCTGCGGTGCCGTAGTGGCCATAGGTTCCATAGTGACCTGCGCCACCAGCGCCCGCATAGCTGCCTCCACCGCTAACGGAGACTGAATCCATCACCTGAACAAAAAAAAATTGAGGTAGGTTAAGTCATCAAATGCCTTCTATCGCCCAGGGTATAGCGAAAGGGAGTATCAGACTCATAATGACTAAAAGTCCCCGTTTATTTTCCTCAAATTAATCACCTCCCAGTGTAGTCCTCTTTATTGCTCGAAATACACCATTTGTGCAAACCAGACCAAATAATAATGGTGCTGCAATTCTTCCAATATAGAAAAATAATATTTTGTTCCAACTAGAAAACTAGACTAAACAACAAACATACTGTACGCTTTAACAAATAAAGTTGAAAACAACTTACATGCGGATACTTTTGTGAGGGCGCCATGGTGAGATGTCCCATGTGATTATAGTGCGCCGCGGGCGACGACACGTACTGTCCATAGTCAGGCTCCACTCCAGCACCTACTACTGGATACTCACCAGCCTGTGAACGGAACAACCATTGAAATACTAAACTGTTTCTGGATATAGTTACCTGAGGTTATCGCATCGCGGGCGCCTATAAAAGCCAATAGACCACAACATATGCGGTATGGGGGTCTAGGCTGGGATTACGGGGCTAGCGCAATAAGGCACCGCGGCCTCGGCCTAGGGCAAGAGAAGGACCGGAGGGTTTTAGTCCGCAAGTCTGATAATTCCTCCCGCCCCACCCTGGGCGCGAGAGTCATTTGATGATTTTCCCTTCACAAAGAAAAACCTTGCACGTTGCTTATAAATTAGTTTAGTTTAGTTTAATTAGTCCCGGTTTAACTTGAAACTAGTAGAGCATCTCTCCTACAGGTCACGTCAGAAGACCGTTTATTCTAATTACTTCATCGTTTTCATATATATGAAATAAAAACTTAACTAAAGTTTTTCTGCCTGAATAAAAATCTTCATTCGAGATCGGAATTCGAAGCGATTAATAATTATTTAATACGGAAAGCTTTTTTGTTTACATAGAATTGCGTGATCCAATTCATTACAAAATTATAGAAAAATTGCGCAAAATTTTTGCGCAGCTTTTGTACATCTGACGACTTTTAAAATCTGACTAAGATTTTAATTTCGCTTTAGGATTTAGGTACCTACCCGTGATAATAGGAACACGAAAGATAAATAAAGAACATCACAAAAAGAACTACAATAACGTATAAATAAAACAACGGTAAAAACCAACGAACTTACAGAAAAAAGACTAATATTTCGCCTAGGCTGAAGATAACAAAAAAAATATGCTTAGACAAGACAAGACCACCCATCCAAGAAAGAATTTCACATTTACCTACGCCACATAGATACTTAAGTTTCAACATTCTTTTATATTGATTCCACAAGACCCGGAGACCGCAAGATTCTCGCTAAAAATTGGCCCAATTACGTTGTAATCTTATTATCTTCAAGATGATCTCATTATATGGGGTTTAAAGGTTAAGACGGTTGGTTCTAAGAACTGAGAGTCAGATATAAATAAAACTATTTACTTACCGGTTGTACGAATTCGACACACGATTTGTGTATTTAAATGTTTATAGATCAACGTCGTTGTTTTTCTCTGAATTGGTGGGTAGTGTTAGGGTGTATGTACCTACAGACAGTGTTACGTTAGTTATTTATATTAAACCTGGGATTATAAAATCGTTTAGTAACGAAAGTTACGAAGTGTTTTTGTGAGGGGAATATAATTATCTTTATTGTCACAAACCAAATTTTTGTTACTTATAAACAAGAGTACAGCAAAACGGACGAAGGTCATAATACGATTTAAAACCCTGACTTACTGGATTGACCTGTATCTTAAGGGTCATATCATCAAATGACTTCTCTCACCCGGAGTGAGGCGAGAGAGGGAGTGTCAGACTCTTACTCTGACTAAAAACGCCATGATTCTTCTCCTCCTCCAGGCCCAGGCTGCGGTACCTCATTGCGATTACCCCGCCGAACAATCCTAGCTGAAAACCGGCCCTGTTGGGCCCTGTCTGTGGTGGTCTATTGGCTCTTTGAGGCGCGACGAAGATGATATTAAGACTACCACTAGAAAAGGTTCTTTTTTTAATTAATAATAAAGTGTCATATCGATGGCAGGCCAGAAAACTGTTTGAAACTAGTGACCGAAGTGGCAGCTAAGTTTAAAATTTAGGTACCGTCGCATGTGTTCATATAGCGTAAACTACTGAACATAATTTATTGGAGTTTTTACTAATGGATTGGTGATTATTAAAGTTATGGTAGAAATACTAAAGTAGACACTCCGCCGTATCTGTTTACGATAAACTATTGAACAGGTTTATACTGGTAAATGATTATGGGCAAAAAGCTGGTGATAATGATGAAATAACAAATGAAGCTGACGTTAAAGCGATGTAGATGAAGTTTAGACCGTACCATATAACTGACCTGCATAGCAAGATGGTGCTGGTGGGCAAGCGCTGCAGACAGCTCAGCGTCTTCGGTGGAGGCGTCCGACCGCGACACAGGACTGTGCTGCGGACCGTACGCGTTCTCCACGGGGCCGTTACTGTAACAATGGTGAGGATTCAGTTAGAGAAGGTTGGAAGGCTTGGATTTTTAATCTTATCAGTTTTCAATAAGGTTGCAGATCTGTAACGAAAATTAGCAGAGAACGGGATATATCGATGTGTAGGAGACTGGTACGTAGTTACATGTTTAACGCATTTTTGAAAAATAAAATAAAACATAAATAAAGCAGTCTTAATCGAGTATATTAGTTATTAATACTGGGCTACGAAGAGAAAACTGATAAACTTTGGCATAGGGAGGTAAACGAATGAATTTTCTGCTGATGAATTTGATTCCCGCGCCCTACGCCCACGAGGGACACGAAGGTGGTTTTAGACAGTAAAAGTCTCACAGTCCCCTTCATCTCCTCAGGCGAAGGGACTACATGAGGATATTCAACCTTGGAGAAGAAAAAAAAGAAGGGAGGCAGACCAATCGCGTCTTGATATATGATCAGCACCGCCAATGGACACAAGAGGAGTAATGGTGGTAAATCTTCATAACGCAATATAGATTATTGCGTTAAGGTTAAGGTTTGATTTTGATTTTGAAGTTGAGGATTTAACCTTTAAAATAATTAAAATAACATAATATCTACAACTAACCTCTGAGCCATTAATTTGTACGTCGAAACCTCATTCGAAGATTGGTAAACACAAAAACGTCTTCTATCATAATGGCTATGATGAGACCAAAAACGAATAACCAACATTGTAACCAATCAATTAAAAAAATTTACACAAGCACTTGTTTTTACGAAACGAAAACCCGAGCACAACACTGGAGACTATTCCAAACTTCCAAAATTACTATAAAACACACTAATAAAAACTTAAGTTATTTTAAAAACTATAAAACACTTTAATATCCTTATAAAAACTGAATATTTTGACTGGAACAAGATACCTATTCTTCAGTATACGTTATTCAATGCTAGTGCTCAAGGCTTCTAAAACATTTAAAGACTAATATTCTAACCAATAGTCTTAATAGATTTCAATATAGCTCATTCTACGTACTGTTAAACTAATACATACGATGTGTAATATCCATACTTATCAACGAATAGAATAAATGTGCCAATATTAATGTTATAGATATTAGGAAATATTTTGTTCAGAAATTACATACATTACAAATTGTTAGTGTAATTATGTTACAAAATTGTTTAATGAAACTTTTTCCTAGGATCGGATAAGTAACTGCTGCAAAAGTCACAAGTCAAAGAAATTAAACCCTTACAGGCACATTGGAACGTTAAACAAAGCTTAAAGATGAAAAGTGTCAGTCTGTGACAGTCCTAGCAAATACTCAGTTTACTAATATTTATATAAAAGTGAGAAAGAAGAAGAAATATGTACGATATGTATTATGTACTGTTACAATTATAATTCGTATTTTCCGTGATACTTATCATTATAATACATATTATCATTAACGACATTGTACGCTGTATTTCGGTATTACTGAAAAAAAATATCCATATGTTTTTTCTGATCAAATAACAAAAGACTTACATTGTTGACAATTGCCAAACTATAGTCCTCCAAATCTTTGGTATTTTGTAACAATTATTGTTATTAATCAGAAACCACGTGAGATTTATTGACGATGACTTTTATGGATGTTTACTCAATCAAGTTGATTGCTTCACTTTGGAATTCACGATCATGAATCATTCATCATCAAATGTGTTCCGACAGAACAATTGCGGATTCGGCATTATTTTTACAACTGCTGTTTACTTGCCATTAACGTTTTTGTAATTAAGTAAAATTAATTAATTATGGCCTCAACACTCGTACAGAGTAATTACTTGAATTTTAAAATGGGATGGACACATTTCAGGGCTTTTCCATAAAAAAAAATATTTGACTCAGCCATGACCTTTGAGAGGAAGGAGGATCATCCATTATTTTTATGGAATTGGAGACAAACGAGCTGATAGATCACCAGACGGTAAGTGATCAGCGCCGCTCATAGACGCTCGCAAAACAAGAGGAGTCACGAATCATTGACGGCATTTAGGGAAGAAGTAGACTCTTTTATTGAAGGTTTGAAAGCCGGTTCGGAAAAACCGCCTCCCAAAGATCATGCCACAAATTTGCTGTGCGAGGCAGAAAGTTTCGTGCAAAATGCAGTTGTCTGCGAACCACCTACATGACAGCAATGGAAGTAATGTTGCATCATGTTAAATGACTTTGGGGAGAGAGGGATACCAGACTCTTACTGACTAAAACCAGCACGTTTCCTCTCCCGCTTTGAGCCGAGCGGGCAGCGGTACCCCTCTCGTTTGCTGGTATATGAGACACAATAAAAAACACATTGTCTCTCACTTCGGCCGCAACCCTGCCCATGAACCAACCAAACTAGCTACCTTCAGCTGCCACAGGTTGGATAACAGCGTCCTCTTAATTTACGGTTACACAAATAATTACAATCCGCAAAATATTGATTGCCAAATACAGCCCTAACGACATAATATCCCCTCTAAAATTAGATGTTTTTCTTCACCAATTCTGACTGCAAATGATGATACATTCCGGAAACTTATCATGCTTAGGTTATAAAAATAATGATTCATAATCTAATTCCGATAAAACAATTTATAGAAATTAAATATTGTGTGCTTAACTATCATCGTTACCAAACGTTTGCTTATTTGCCGACCTGACACATAAAAAAAAACTATCGAAAACACACACACCAAATACATTTTTTTGTAATAACGTTTAGAACACTATGACTTTCTTCTGTGCCCTGTGTGTTACAATTAACATTAAGAAATATCATACAACGGACGTAGGACGCTACCTAAGTAGGTAAGCAAAACCTACTCGCCAACTAATGTTTGAAGATAAGACACGCTGTATTCATACCTAGATCAAGTTGATGTATATTATGTGTCACGAATGAATAGGGTAGATATGAAGAGAATATACGTGAGGAGTGCGTCATTGTAAGCACAAAAGAAAATATTATTTATTGTAGTTTCTGCATACAAGATTTAAAATAAAACAGTAATTGTTACTAAAAAAAAGTAAAAGTTAAGCACCTATATTTGTAGATATTAAGTTGTTATATAATGATATTTATGTATAAATTAGAGCCTGTCAACCATAAACCGTGTGTGCAGATCGGCGTTTTTGTTTTTTCGTAACCGAAAAAAATAAATAATAAATCAATAAAAAAAACTTCAAAACTATAGCGTGTAGATAATTTTATTGCGAGCAATGATACAGTATAGTTCCAATAATAATTAATCTTTGGATAAAATAAGTAAGTGAACAAATTTTCTTCTTCAAGATGAGCAAAGCGCTTTAAAATCTTGCAAACATCAATAGTCAGTGACAATCCTCAGACTTTTAAGCTTCGATTAGCGTCTTACATTCATTAGGTTTAAACAAATTAAACTCTATGCTACAAAAAATAGAGTGTCTTAAAACAATTATACTTTAGAATTGATAAAGCACAAAAGCAAATACAACTACATACAACTTTTACAATTTAGAATTGATAAAGCACAAAAGCAAATCACTTTTAAAATAGATCGCCGTAATAATGATTAAATGCGTACTCTCTCCAATAGAGGTCTTCGAAATTTACATCTCAATTATTAACCATATCGAAATTATCAAAACAAAGTTTAAGTAGACACAAGATTTCGAAACAAAACAATACTACACTAAATCAATAATTTTACCTCAAGTATATCCAGTACAAATCTATTGTTAAACATTGGAATTACGAAAACCCAGAGCTTAGTCGGTAAGTTAGATTTCTGCGACCTTTTGTGATCTACCCGGCTAAATACCTTCTATTTAAACAACAACTTTGTTTATTTGATACGATTATTTAATTAATACCTATTGATTAGCAATTTTATCAAATCCATCGAACCGCTAAATGTGTTGCTAAGCGTACAAGTCAAGAACGGCTGGACTGATTACGATAACACTTTTTTTTACCGCCATTCTGGCGGTAAAAAAAAGTGTTTAAAGTGGAAGGGAAAATAGTACTGAGGTAAATCTGTGGTGAGCTTACCTTATCACATTCTATTATAACATATATAACCTTTGCTTATTGGCAAAAACAAGTGAAAAGATATTATAGTCCTAAATATACCTAAGTACATACGGCGCAAAAAAAAATCACCAATAGTATTGAGGAGGACGGAATAAAAAGATACACGCAATATAATAACCTTTTGAGGGGGAAAATCTTCTGAACCCTGTGAGAGGGAGTGTCAGACACACGGTTTCCAAAAGGCCGATCAATGTTAAAATCAATTTAATCTCTTGTCAAGTCATCTGATTGGTTGACTGAATTATCAACAACCAATCAGATTTGACACCTAGTTAGTTGATTTAAACATTGATCGGGCTTTCGGAAACCGGGCATTACTGACAAAAACCACACAAAAAAAACTGTTAAAACTATCAAACATCCTAACGACAAACTTTTTTGAAACAAAATTAACAATTACAGTTGCCATTCTACAATGGGAATACTCGTAAAGTATTATAATTACAAATTACAAACCAGACTTTCCAACATAATAATAATAATTAATTAATCCCGTTAAAATTACGGCCAAATATCCCTTCAGGGAATTAGGAGATATTATCTTAAGATGAGATGGGAGAGCAAAACATCAAACGACAAATCTCGTATGTCTGAAATGCTAGTGGCTTTATCCTGAGTACTTGTATCTATGTACTTAAATTACGACCTTATCTATGATACATTTATAGGTTAATTTAGCGTACTTTACCATTTGAAGCTATTAAAGTATCAAGGTGATATTATCACCTTTATTTCGTCTAAAACTGCGGTTGAACTAGGAAGACTTTTAAAACTATGGTTTTCCAAGTGTCAAAGTAAGTAAATGTTAAAAAAATATCGAATTAACTGAGCCTGCAAAAGTATGTTATTTCGAAGAATATTATCAACGTCTCAACGTCTGGTTCTGTCGCTCGATTCGGTGTAGACGATAAA